CCTTCTGCGGTTGCACACACACAGTTTGTACCGGAAGGCTCATCGTACCGTATCGGATATACAAGCAAGGTTTCCTTTAAACTCCCTAATACCCGATCACGGAACGACGCATGCGCAAATCCGTCGGTGGATTATCGGAACGATCTGCCAAAATTCCCTATTATACTATCCGGGACTCTTGGGGATATCGTCTCGGGAACGAGTGAGCAGACTGCGGATGAGGAATTTTGGCGGTTCTGAGACCAACTCTGCTCGAGGAGGGGGGGGGGGGGGGGGGCGGATTGGGGGGGGGGGGGGGGTTGTTTGCGAAACGATGTTTCGATTAGCCAACGTGTTTAAGGGGTAGCTTTTCTTGTTTTCTTTACTAAAAATATTTTTTTTTTAGATCGATCTGAGAACATAGAAGACGCCATGCGCTATAAAAAGAAACAACTAGACCAAATAGATCAATAGTGCATAGTAAGGACCAATTAAGCTCGTTTCGAATATCGTTCAGAAACGATATTCGAAACCAACGGTTCGTAGCGCACCGTTATACTTCACTGCGCATTCACATCTTTTCAGAAGATGCTTGAATAAATTTCCACATTGTGCTTTACATAAAAAAAAAAAAAAAAAGGTTTTCAAATTTTTGAACTATATTTCGCGTCAGAATTGCGGCAGGAAACAGCGGAGAATGTTTACGCACATGACAAAGACTTGAAATGCGGAAGCAAAAATTTTAAAAGGCCACTAAAAAAAAAAAAAAAGCTTTTTTTTTTTTTTTTTTTTAAACACTTTGGTTGGTACACGCGCGTCGAGAAATGAATTTTCAGCGAAAAGAAAACTGTTTAGAGCAATACTGACGGCGCGAGATTTATTTTGAATTCTGCGCGTAAAGTCCATGACGTCACAAAGTGGTCATACACTCTTTCCACCTCAACGAGATGGTCATACAGTCTTTTTACCTCAACGTGATGGCCAAGCCAAGCCGATCCACCTCTCCTCCACGCGCCCGAATTGCCGAGAGAGAAAACAAGTGGAAAAGAGGTGACTACCGACTAAATCGCGCCTCACGCCGTCAATATTGCTCTCTCTCTCTCTCTCTCTATATATATATATATATATATATATATATATATATAGAGAGAGAGAGAGAGCGAAATATTACGCGAAATTCACAAATGAATTTCGCGTAAAATTCATTTGTGGACACGTGTGTCCCAACCAAACTAATTAAAACATTTTTCTTTCTTTTTATGATCGACCACAGAGGGTGCTACTAACGTTCGGAGCGTATCCAAGGCCATGTGAGTGGCACGTGACTTTGGAGAGGGATCTCAGTGAAGGGCGGAGTGCGTATCTTAGTTCCCAGAGCTGGGTTGGCTGAAACGGCTCGTAGCTTCCGCTGCGGTCGGACACGAGGTGAAACGGAGCATGGAAGCCCCTCCTTCAACGCGAGTTCGCTGGCTTCCGCAGTGCTTTGGTTGCGCATGCCTGCGTGTTCACACTTGCGTTAGCAAGCGCGGTTAACTAGAGTTGAATGCGGAGCTTCTAGTCTCAGCTTAAGGGGGAACGGAGTATAGCTTTGACAGTCTTTTCTTTCACGCGGCCTTAGCTCAGACTCCATAGAGTTATATAATAGACCCCTTCAAAAGTACGCACCCCCTAGTGGCTGGCGTGTCGATTATCCGAGGCCGCCATATCTTGGGCCTCCAATCTGAGCGTGCATCGAACGCGACTAATGCTTGAGAGTTGGGTGCGTACTCGGGTCCGAATGCATTCGACGCGAGCTGTACGTCAGCGCTGGGCTCGGATTCGGATCCAACCACGCGCTTCGCGAAAGGAAGCGATGAACAAAATATGGCGGCCACCAGTGCTGCCTGATGGACTGTTCAAAAGGGTCTATGGGTGGCGCCAACGTTTTGGGTACATTAGGCTGTTCGGGGAACTCGAAGCGTTGGAAGCCGCTATCCTACAGCATGTAAACTAACGCTTTTAAAAGGCACTTAAGACTGCCCGCGAAAATCGGTTTCTCAGCCCATCGCGCTGCAATTTAGTCCAGAAGTGCAAGCATGTAGTGAAAGTTTAGAGCAAAAAAAAAAAAAAAAAAAAAAGTTAAGAAATAAATTTATTTCGTTCAAAAAAAAAAAAAAAAAGAGAGAAAAAAAAAAAGAATCCTGTTTCGGGCAAACTACGCCGCCACTTTTCAGACGACGAACGCGTAGAGAGAAGTGCGGCCGACAGATGGCGTACGCCGCGTCGAGGAAGCGCCGGCCATGTAGGTACGAAGAAGAGGAGGCGACACACTGGCTCAAGACGGCCAAACAAGAAAATCCGAAGTGAAGCCGGAAGTAGAGGTTTCGGTCGGTAGGAACGTTTCTGGTCATGGTTGCGGAGCATGTCCGTCTAAACAGGAAGTCTCCCCGGCTTCGCCTCTGGTGGCGTCACGTCGCCTCCACAAGCTTCCTACCTCCATGTCGCCGGCCGATTTGGTTTCTTTTGTGAGATCGTCTGCTATCAGCCCGATACAAACGGCGCTCCCTCGACGCGGCGTACGCCACCTGTAGGCAGCATTTCTCTACGCGTGCATCGCCTGTGAAATGGCGGCGTAGACGGCCCAAAACAATTTTTTTTTAATTCAAATTTTGTTTTATTGTAAACTTCTATTACTTGCTTGCACCTCTGTAGTAAATCGCAACGCAATACGTAGAAAAACCGATCTTTGCGGTTGTTTGGAGTGCCTTAAAAGCGTTAGTTCGCATGGTGTAAAACTATTTTGGTTCTAGCAAGCCGGCCTTGGTCTAGTCAAGTTGTCGTAGAAACTGGCTATTAAAAACAAATAATAATAATAATACCTCGCTCTTGGCAACGAAGCGATTATCGCGTTTAAAAACAACGGTATGACGGTTCCCAGTTTCACCTTAGTGGGACCGAAGCCTTATAGATACGGGAATTGCTACTACGCGTCGTGCGAGCCAACAGTGCGAACCATATGCACACCGACCGACGGAGATACGACACCTCCGCTTCTCCCAGCGGAACACTTCGCTCTTCCGTCTGGAACATAAACGTACGTTTATGTTCCACAAAGGCAAGTTCCATGGACAAGTCGGCTTTTGGCTTCTGGTTCCGTTCAACATACGATAAAACTGAGTTAAAAACACAACAAAACACTAGGTTAACGGGCAAAGGCAGGCATGCCTATTCCGTAATTAAGAGGGGATTAACGCGAGAGAGAGAGAGGGAGCAGCTTGTCGCCTCGAGGCCCATTCACACATCTGCGTTTGAGTGCGTTGCATCAAAGCATGTTCAAAGCACGTCTGCTTCACACGTACGTGTTTTTCGAACACGTCTGCGGACGGTTCTAGTATGACCAATGTTAGCGTCGTACGGTCTGACCGTCTGCAGTACGACGTGTATGCAGCGTGATCGCGGCTTTCGAGACGGTGGCAGCGGTAAGACGTTCAACGGCTCACGCCCGGTCGCGCAATTTCAGTCACGCCGCCCGATCTGCCGAAGAGGAACGTCGGGCCGAAAGACGACACCGTAGCGCCGAACGTCGCGAGTCGGACGATCACGAACCCGGCCAGAGTCATTACAACCGCGAAGGTCGAAGGTGTGTTTCTCGCTGCGCTGTATACGGTCATTGACGAGGTAAAAACGTCAGGGAGGGCAGTTGTCCCGCCTCCAGCGCGAGCTTACTATACGGAGCGCAAGTTCGTCTGCTTCTTGCACAGGGGTTGCTATGATGTCAGAACGCCGAGCTCTTATTGGTTGACTGAAAAACAAAATACTGGGTAGACCTCGAGGTATCTAGCATTGAGGTCTACCCACTATCCTTTCGATCAGAACCAATCAGAGCTCGCTGTCGTTCTGACGTCACTGCTGCTCCTGCTCAAGAAGCAGACGACTCGCTCTCCGCGTACCTTCGACAACGTTACAGCGTATCGTGCACGAAAGGCAGGGAGCACATGCTGGAGGCTGGGCGTTCGATAGACAGGACCTGACGTTCACATTCTGCAAGTGGCTACGGTCACTACTGACAAAGCGAGAACGGCAGGTTGTCTCTTTCGAACGCCCGGCCTTCAGAACGCGCCCGTTGCCTTCCGCCGTGCTTTGGTTGCGCGTGCACGCTCGAGGCTCGAGAGACGCTGTAGCGCGTTATAGAAGGTATAGGGAGGTTCGCGCTGGCGGCGGAACAATTCAAACTTGTCCCTGCCGTTCAGACGCTATAGGATGAGTTGGGTTAAACGAAGCAGCGCGGTGTTTCTCAAATGCATCGTGTGTATTCGCAGCCACAGCCCACCCGACACGACTCGGCGCTACATCAGAGTCGAGAAAAGGTAGGCTCGGCGACTCGTCGTAGTTCAGAAGGTTTGGACCTAGCGCGGGCGGAGGTGGTGGGAGGAGGCGAGCTCCCCTGACCGCCCTCCCCGCTCCTTTCACGCAGAAAAAACGCTGAGAGACGATGTTCGGAGGCAGGATGCTTCTCAAGCGCGCGGTCGTGCCGCTCGTGTACGGCGCCTGGTAAGCTTACACGCGGCGCCGCCAAATCCGTCGCCAATACTGCGCGCGCGCGCTGCTGTGCTTTGACGCCGGCGAAACAGCCAGCATCGACCGGCCGCCATCTTGGCGGTCGCCGCGGACACTCTCCGAGGGGGAGGGGGCCCGGAGAAGTAGAGAAACAAATAAAAATATGAAACCAGGAAGTCCCCCCCTTCGTCTCCCAAGTCGATCGGATTCCTTCTCCATGCGCACGCCGAACCCATACGCGAGAGTGACGGAAACGAGAATCCAGGAAATCGAAAAGCGCGCGCGTATTACCACCGGCAAGAAGATCCCCAAGGCGTGAAATCCGTCTGGAGCCGCCATGCTGCCACAAAAAAAACTAAATATATAACACGGCCCATCCACGCGCATGCGCAGCGGCCCAGGGCTCAGGCCCGGGGCGCCCCGTGAGCCCCGGCGCAGCATCCCCCTCTCCCCCATTTTGCCCTCTCCCACCTCCTCCCCCTTGGACGCGATTGAGCGCTAGCAGTGCTCGCAGTCGAGCAGACAGTCGCACGCACCTCGCTCCTACGCTCGGAGTCTTCGGTCGCTCGGAAGGTCAGCCGTTGCTTCTTGAGTTTTCTTCAACTCCATCCTTTTTTTTCTTGTTCCTCCTTCGGAACGTAACCTGGCCTGCTCCTTCCTGATTGGACTAATAACTCGGAGGATTTCCTCGTCGCTGCGTTCCCAGCGAAGGCAAGAGGCGGGCTGCTGAAGTTGATGCTGCGTGAACGCGGTTCCAATGGCTTCCGTTTGATCGCCCTTGAAGATACGGATGCTGTTCGGGGGACCTAAGCTCGATCGTTAGGCGGACGCTTTTTTTTTTCTTTCTTTGTGAAGAAGGAAGGGTTCGACCCCATCTGTGAAAGAAATCCAGTGATAGTGTTTGATCGCAACTGGATAAAGTGAATTTAATAACCGTGGATCAAAGGCTTTAGGCACAGGCTCAGTTAACGAATAAACGATAGAGAAATGTTCGCTCATTCGCTGGATTACGAGCTGAATTGGTGTCATTGGGTAGGTAACGAAAAAGCGGAAATGGCAGAAGTTAATTTTTAATGTAAATAATCGGAAATTAACATAAGATCGTGGCCTATAAATTCAATTTACCAAATAAGAATTGCTTTAAAAATTCGCATCGAAAAGTGCCACCATCACTGATGATCATAAACTCTATTAGGGACTGAATTACTGGGTATACTAAGAGAGGATGTTACCTTCCGGAATAAACAAACTAACCAGCAACGATAATCGTAAACTGTATTACGAATCGAATTACGGTCTGGATTACGAAAGGAAGTTACGTCCAGGAATAAACAAAGAGGAGTTTAGGTTTAGCAAATGCGAATAAGTCTTACTTGGCGACCTGGCGAAACAATGTTCTTAACAGAAGACAGTTGCAAAGAAGGCTGATCCCGTCCTGTGCTTGCAGGATTTCGTCAAACTCCGGTGGTCATCAAAAATCAGGCAGCAACATGGTCGACCAGGCAACGCTAGACAAGCTGGATGCGGGCTTCAAAAAGCTCCAGGATGCTAAGGACTGCAAGTCGCTGCTCAAGAAGTACCTAACCAAAGATGTCTTCGAAAAGCTCAAGACTCGCAAGACGGCCATGGGAGCCACCTTGCTCGACGTCATACAGTCCGGTACGTTTTTTTCTTGTTTGTTCGCGGAGTCGCGTTGCCGCTCGATAGAAGCCCGGATTAGGGCTGGATTAAGATAATCCTCGTAGTCGCTGCCTTCACGCTGACAGCTATGATCGCCAGAACCGTTAGAGACACCGCGAACGAGAGGGAGATTTATTTTTCTTAAAGCTCGTAATTCGAAAAACAAACCCTGTCGCGTCTTCATAAGCGATATCTAGCAAGAATAAAATCGTTGGCGCTTTGTTTCAAAGTGTGATTAAAGGACTCAAAGGTGTAAGAATACTCACATGAAGTGCCCTGTACTTCTTAAAATTTCGACGGCTATAATAGCTGCGGTAAGCATAAACGTAAACATTACAATTGATGTGCACAATAAGAAGCCAACAACATCTATGAAATTTCACGTGATACATGATGTAAAAAGCACCGACGAGAATAAGCCCGTATGCTGGAGTATTTTGTTGAACTTGCGACACTTTCCCAAAAGTTTTTTCGCAAAACGAATACCACTAAAATAAATTTTAACATCAACTTACCGCGTCAAAGAAAGAAGAGCAATTTGCGCTAGGAATAGCACGAGGAAGTCATCTCTGAAGGAGGACGCCAGGAGTTAACTATCTGCGTAATTGGCGCCGGGGCGCGAGCCCCTGTAAAGCTATCTGCTCCGCACGATGTATAGAAGTGCGGGGAAACCCTCCTCCTGTGGGCGTCCGACTCGAGGTCGAGCAACCATTCGTCGCGTACCATCGCAACCCGTGACGTAGCTAAAACAAACATTTGTAGCGCGTTACACTGTGTGTGACCTTGCTATGACCCCTAGGAAGTAAATGGAAGAAAATTATAAACTGACACTTGCTGGCACAATGCTTGAAACCAACAGACAAGCAAGCTCCCTGCAATCAGTCGGAATAAATTAAATGACGTTCGCCAATTAAAAATTTTATAGTGCTGTTTATATTAGGGGACGGGGTGCGCGAACAGTGTTCGGATCGAAAAACGTTACAACCATTCTCGCCATTCATATTTCAAGACAAAGAAACCAAAGACCCCCACACACAAACACAATACACCGGCTAGTTGTGCAGTAGAGAGGCTAGGAGTAACACGAGCTATCGAACCCAAAGTGAAACGAACATAGAGCCTTCGTAGGCAATAATATAAGAAAAAATTGGAGCTCACAAACGTCATTTTATGCTCATGTCAGCGGAAAGAGACGGAGGTATCTAAAACAAATGTGCGCAAGGAATTAACACGCGTTTGTTCTTCGTTCGCACCAGGCAAACAACGCGGCCCTCTGACAAAACTAAAACCGATCTTCAGCGAGCCAGGCAATCCTAGGAAGTACTGCTTCATTGAACACGTTTTTATCTGGCCACTTGGTACAGCCCAAGCATAACACGGGTTGCAAATGGAGCGATTCTTCCCTCTCCGCAGAAAGTGTTTGCTGAGCGTTTGTCTAGTAATGATAGGCCGCTGGACAGACAAAAGTTGCTCCCATTATCAAAAACAATGGAGTTGAATGCGTGAAAGGTTCGATTATTTTGTCCAGGAATGTACGTCTGAAAACGTCCCCTCAGCGACGTTCGAGGCTTCACACGGTACCACAGCTGAAACAAACGCCAGAAAGCGCATTTTATGCACCAAGACCTTACCGCTGCGCGAAACTACGCGGAAAGCAATCACTTTGCTCGTCGAGACACAGAGACAACACTTTGATAAATGATCGAAACCGGCCAATCATAACACGAAGAAAAGGAGAAAAAAAAATATACTAAAGTACCCGAGTTCCGAATTTTCTTCTTACCAAACGCGCAACTGTAGGCGGCTCAATTACTGCCGATCTTTTTGAGTCTATTTTTTTATTGGTTTTTCTCGGTGCTGCTCACCTCGTATTTTCTCCGTAAAAAAAAAGAGCCAGCAAAAAATTGGGTACGAAATGGTTTGTAAAATGTAAATGTATCGATCAGAAAAAAAGGCCTTCCGCGCACTAAATGATTAAAAAAAATATATATATTATGTTTCTTTTTGTGTGTGTGTGTGTGTGTTCTGGTAAAAACGACAGTCTTCTGGTGTCTGAGAGCAGATTGTGACTTGTTTTAAAGCGAATCGCCGGCGCAGAAACATAGTGAAGCCACGGTATATAAAAAAAAAGAAATAGACGCTTTCGTTTTTTTTTCTCTCTCTTATTTTTTTTTAATGCTTGAAGCGAACTCGGAGTGAACAATTAATCATCCAACGTAACAAAGAAATATAACCTGAAGGAATACAAATATAGTCCCGCACGAACGCCCAGAGAGACTACCAGCACGTTAGCATATGTTACTGCTTTTTCTGTGCGTTCTACGAAAAGGCTGTAAGTACACTTCACCGATACTCATTAACGAAATCTCGTATCCTTGAGTAAAACTAGTTTACAAAATGTGCGGACAAACTTAAGTTCTTTTTTTTTTTTTTTTTTTTACCCGTTTATAAGCAGCTGAATTAGGAAATGACGATCTTACTTTTTTCCGTGCGTGTTTGAACATCAGGGCTGTTCGACAGACGGCAACAAAACGACCCCTTACTCAGTCCATTCAATTGCGTTTCGTTTAACCATCACGATGGCCCCAGGGCCTGTAGAAATTAACCGTTTCGTGCTATAGCCAAGATACGCCATTTTTGTGTAAGAAACACACACACACACAAACGCTTTTCTTTTTCGTTTTTTTATTTACGGAAAAGTGATGGTGCGTTAATAGAACACGATCCTGAATATGCGCGGCTTGACATTCTTTAAGCAAACTAACGTTCAATAAAGTCGGGAGACAAGCAACGTGCATTAAACGACGTGTATATTCATTTCCTCGTAATTAATTAGTTATCAATATTAACGAATGGTAAATAATTAGCCGGACCTAATATATCTATAGCTACGTTTAACGGTCGCGTCACAATTTTTCGTAACGCTCTTTCGTAATATGAGGCTCATCTCATGAAAACTAGGCCTACGGCACTGTGTGTGAAAAAATCGATTACTGTATATGCGGAAAGCAAACATTATTGATTGGGTTTCTATCTCTTGTGGGCCACGCTAATGATCCTCGTATGTTTACAAAATACAACCTTCGATCGACTGATTTGAACCCCGTAACTTCATCAATATTTGCTAAAAAAAAAAAAAAAAAAGGAAATAGAAGGGGCTGTTATTTCTACACCTCGAAACAAAGTATGCTCGTTTCATTGCTCATACAAACGAAAACAAAAAGTTTTTTTTTTTTTTTTACACCTTTTACGTTTAAGCCGGGCAGTTGCGCTGATTGTGTTCGGAGCAACCGGAACGACAAATTCACTGGAACAAGTGTTGGTCGTACACTACGGGACAAGCGATGCAAGACGTAGCTTCCGCAAGTTGTTCATGGTGTCCAGAGGTACCTTATGGTACCGTGGTTGCGTCTTCGGCAAAGCTGTGCCCTGGGTGGGTATTCGACACCTAGTTTACGAGGCGAGAGTGAAGGGGGAGGTGGAAGGGGGGGGGGGGGGGGGGGGGCGGCTAGGTAAACACGCTTCAGTGGGCCATGCGCTAGCCTAATCGTGTTTACCTAAGCCGCCCCCCCCCCCCCCTTTCTTTCTTTCCTCTGAAGATCAGGCGATGTGAAGTCCATGAGAACGCGACCAATGAGAGTGCCGGAATGGGCCCGTTGACTTACTTCTCAAGCTTTTCCCAACACGCGTGCCGGTTGTTGCCGTCGTTTTGATTGCTGCGGACGTAAAACCAGCGGAAATGTCAGAACCAGGCTCGAATGTGTCGCCCTCGACCAACGCGCGCTTGTACAAAGCGTCTGTGGCCAAGCCAGAGTCGTGGTGCCATCTCGGATTCGTAATTATCTGGACCCGGAGAGAAAATTTGACTGCGATATCCCTTTAAACAGCGCGTTAATCGAATGCGAATTTGACCGTTCGAATATTCGCGCAAACTTAGAGGATTTGTCGTACTCGCAAGTTACCAATAGGCCGATAGCATTAAAAGATTTAAATTTCAGGATCACTCTTCCGCACTCTCCGCAGATAAAGTTCGCGCTTATTAGAGCGTAATAATTCTTTCACGCAAAAGTATTAGGTTCAACAAACATTACATCAGAAAACTTAAAATATGGTTAGGTTGTTTCGAACTAGTTCGGGGGGCTACCATAAAACAGTCGTGAAGTGAAGACTGCGTACAAACTTGTTGCTTTCCAATACATCTATGGGGTGCTACAGTCCCCGTGCTTGCCGGAGCTGCGTAATTGCGTTTGTTGTCTTGGTTCCGTTTGGGAATTAAACGTGGTTGTCAGAGCTTTTCGGCGTTTCCGAGGAAAAAGAACCGTGCTTTCGTACTACATATTACTAAACTACACAAAGTGGAAAACCCAAGCTCTACCCATACTTAGTCCTAGGGGTTGGCACGAGAGGGCAACGTTTCGGGACTTGATCTAAGAAGTTGAAAATAACTTATCAGAAGTTGAAAAGAACTTCTCAGCGCGGAAATGACCTCAGTCGTCTGCGGACGCATACGCTGCTTTTGATGTTTCGGAGAAGAGAAACGATTTTCGCATGCACAGAACACATTCCATATCGCCCAGTAAACAAGGCAGAGCACAGAATTCGACAGTTGTAACGGTCTTTAGGTCGCGACATGATCATAATCCATGCGGCGCGCAAGTTCGTCTGCTTCTTGCCCAGGGATATGCGATGATGTCAGAATGCCAAACCCTTGTTGGCCGATTGAGAAAAAGAGATAGTGGGTAGACCTCGAGGCATCTAGCATCGAGGCCTACTCATTATATTTTCAATCAATAGCCAATCAGAACCCGGCGTCGTCCTGACGTCACCGCAACCCCTGCGCAAAAAGCAGACCGACTTGCTCTCCGTATAGCCTTCCAATCATGAGCGGTTCCGAAACTTCGGCATCTCTTCTCCAACCGCCAGCGCTACAATCGGATCCATTTCAAACCCTACGTAATTAACAATTTACTTAAACAATC